CACTTAGACTTGGGGAGGGGGGGGAATTTAAATTGGGGGTTCCCAAACTTCTGCTCATCAACCCTTCGTGAAGTTTCAGATTGTTCATCGACCCCCCCAATCATTTATTATATGAAAATAATTTAATACATACTACTTTAATTAATAGTACTATGAATAATAACAACAACAACAACAAAAACAACCCCTTGGATAGTCCCGTCGATCCTTGGGGGTCAATATTGACCACTTTGGAGAATCCTGATTTAAATCATTCTCTGAGCCTAATAGCCACATTTACCAATGGAAGAAACCTTGGCACCATGAAAATAATTTAAACAATAAATGATTTTGAAGTTTTCCTTTGCAGCATGTGGCTTTATTCACTAGAATACATTGAAGCTATTTTCCTCATTTGTTTCCCACCCTGATCCACACAACAGCCTGTAGGAATTTTTTAGTATGGAACAGCATTTCTTACATGAATCCTGACTGCATCTAAGCTGGTATTTTTATTCTTTTATCTGCTATTTGGGAAAACTGGTCCTCAGCACTGCTTCCGCCATCTACCACATGGTTTCTATCCCACAGCATTTACCGTGCCAATCTGATGTCCAACCGGCAAGGTGCAGACAAAGTCATTGGTCACAACATTGAAGCTGGATGGAATGCACAGCTGGTCCTGGATTGTAGCACTCACACTTGGCATGTAAGGTTGCAAGACAACTGACAGCAGGCTTGCAATGTTGACAGCCACCCCTATCACTGTGCTTGCCCGTTTTCTAGGAAGAAAAGAAAAAACATTTCTAAAAAGGAAGAAGCAGCAAAGCCAAGAAAATGGTGCAACAGCTTATAGACAAAATTGATCTCTGAAAATAAAACCCAGCTCACAAGCACCAATGCATGTTTCTTCTCCAATAACAAACCTAATCCAGGTAAGGTATATCACAAAGTTGGGAGGAGAATTCCCTCAGTTGGTTCTGCTTAAAGCAGATCATCACAAAATAGCATTTGCCCAGTATCAGAAACTCACTTGTCTGCATCACTGCCTTTGATGCATTTCCAGGGCTCGTTGACCTGAAGGTACTGGTTGCCGTGGCGAGCAATATTCAGGATGCTGCGTAAGGCATCACGGATCCTATGAGAGAAAAAGAGCCAAGAGATAAGGTTGTTGAAGCAGGGTAAGGAAGAAAATGGCAGTTTATTCCTCATTTTTGTTGCTGGGAAATACCTGGCACAACTAAGCAGCCCTCCCATGCAAACATGCAGGAAAGCTTTCAGTAAATCACGTGTTGGGCTTTCTCCTTTCAAACTCTTAAGCAGCCACTTACAACACTCTTTGTGGGCAGGCAACTAATAAAGGAATTTGTAAGTTAACCATTTTTGTCCAGATCTGCAAGGCTAACATAGCCAATCTAGTGCAAGGCTTAACTGACCTCATTTTGACATACATGAATTTGACCTCTCAAAACATTCCCAGTTAGCTACAATAATCTCATCTACAGTTTGCTTCCAAAGAAAATTCAAGACTGTCTAGAAGAAAAAGTTTTAAGGATTACGGAACCAGCATCCACAAGCATTTAGATATTCAGGTGTTGCTGCTTCACACATTCAAAGCCAATCTGGGGACAGTCTGTAGCTCAGATGACTCTCCACAAGCAGAGAGAGGATGGGAACAAGTCTTCCGTTCTCCAGAATTTCTACCATTGCGGTTATGCATGCATACCGTTCAGGACATGTTTTGTCTAAGCTAGAGATTGCACAGCTCCTAGAGTTACTGGCAGATGCTAGATTTCTAGGACGTACTTGACCTTCTCCAACAACTGATTGTACTGCCGCAGCTCCAGAGTGATGTGAGCCAACAAGCGCTTGTCATCCTGGTTCAAGTTCATCGGAGGGACGCAGCCCCCAAAGAATTTGCACACAAAAGTCCCTGCTCTGAAAAAGGAAGCAAAGACAAGGAAGAGAGTTGAGAGGATACATTAAAGTTTGGACATAAGAAATTTACAGAAAGCCAGACTAATTCCCATCTTTTGCTTTCAACTATCACAATCTACCCATCTGGGCAACTCTTGGACAAATAATGAAAGACTTCTACACAAGGCTGTGACTTCATCCATTGGTTACTTGACATTTTGCCTAACCCACATTCTGCAGTTCCCAGCTACGGGCCTGTTCCTGAATCTCTCACTCCAGGAGACCCCAGAAAAAGGACTTATAAACAGAGATTGAAGTAGTGTGGAACTCCAGATTAAAGTGCTCCCCCCGCAATTTTCTTTTTTTATAGTGCCTCCACTTAGTAAATTCTTGTATCAGCCAAAGTAAGTTTCTTTTTTCTTTGTGATTTACCCTTGGAGTCAAGATTTCCCCCACCTCACTCTCAACACACTGTGTTTCGACAAAGTAAAGATTAGCAATGTAACTCCTATGAGCAACATAATGCTTGATGCTTCCTAAAATGGCTTCCCCCTGAAGTATTATTTTTTTTAAAGAATGACCAACATTTCATAATGTCAGCACATCTTGTGAGATTTCAACAGTCTCATACATGAACACCAAAATATCACACAATGCTATGTGAGATGTTGATGTTCTTGAGAATTGGAGAACCACTTGGGCCATCACACACTACATATGAAATGAGCCTGAAAAAGGAACTGACTTGAAGACACAGTGAAAGAGTGGAAAAAATAACCCTCATGCACATGCAAACACACATAGGCCCTTTTCAATTTCAACCTCTCTTCCTTCCTATTATGCAGCTTCACTTTTTTCTCCTCTTCCTAACTCTAGGCCAGCTTTTGCAGTTAGCTAATAAATAGTTTGCCTGAATTTGATTTTTTTTTTTTTGATACTGCCCTTTAGTTCACACCAGTACCCAAAGCAAAGCCACCACATTATTATGTTGAATTCACACTATGGACCCACTCTTCTCTTGCCCAGATTTACCTATTGATAAAATTGCCCAGGGTGTTCAGCAGCTCTGAGTTGTTTTTGATCATCAGATCATTCCAAGAGAAGGCACTGTCTTGGCTCTCTGGCCGCAAGTAGAGCAGGTAAAAGCGCCAGATATCTGCAGGAATACCTGTGTCCTTGGCCATATCCCCAAAAACTCCCACACCACGGCTTTTGGAGAATTTGCCATCCTCATAGTTCAAATATTCTACAGAAAGAAAGAGGGTGACGTTAGGAAGTCCATCAGGGTCCCTCTGTCAGAAGAAAGGGAACGGAATTGGTCAACTTTTGATTCCAAGGCACCCAACAAGACTAGGAGCCAGGAATGAAAAAGTGATGTTTGTGGTTAATCTACTCCCCCAGCAATTACCTGTTGCAATTAGATGGTTGACTAGAGTATAATTATCACCAGTGCCCAGCAATGAGCAAGGAAACACAACACTGTGGAAGGGAACATTATCCTTGGCCATGAAGTTATAAAGCTGAATCTGAAGGGAAAGAGTAAAAACATGGCATAAGGCACATTTCTACCTCCACCTTCTGACAACTCCCTCCCATCCTGTGTAGCCCCAAATGACTAATGATTGTGACAGCATGTCTTGTGATTATTTTTTTAAAATATGTCTTACAACAATCAGAGGTACAGATCTCCTAAAGATATAATAATTTCATGTTACTTGCTGGGGTGAGCTGAAGAACTTAAGACATTTTGGTTCTAAGTACTAAGCGTGCTCAATGCTCAGAAGAGTCTACACTGTGTGATGGAGGATTTGCCTCATTTTCCAGCCACAAATATATTTATATTATACACATTACACAGATATATAAATGAATAACACAGGAAATTTCACAAATATGTACACTTTCATATTATAAATAAAAAAGACAAGGTATTATAAAGTTTGTAAAGATGCATTCCTATGTATTTATATCTATTACCATTATCTTTAATACAGAGAAAGGAATTAGCTTTCAGAAGAAAGTGCCTGGATTGGCCCACCTGTTCTGGGTTCTTCCACCATTTCTCCCACTGGTCAGTGTAATTAGCCGTGATAGACAGATAGCCAATTGGAGCATCAAACCAGACATAGAATACCTATTAAAAGTGGGGTGGGGGGGAGAGATACACACAGAGATAGAAGATGACCCACAGAGAACAGAAAAGGAAATATTTGCAAAAACATAAGGAACTGAAATTTGGATTTCATATCGCACCACTGCACATCTCCTGGCCATTATTTACCATATTTTTCTAAAGGAAGATGATGACCCCTAATTAAAACAACGGGCCTCCTTCCCAAGGAGGAATTTACAGGAAAAACTCGTATACACGATATAAGATTTCCCACCTTGTCCACTGAAGGTTGCCAGTTCCTGCTAAATCTGATTCTGGAGATTTCCCCTCCCAATACACATACACACGTGATGCATTTATACATGTGGATGCATATGAAGGATCCAACATTCTTGGCAAAATGACAAAGGCAGCATCACTCAGCAAACTCTTCTTTTGTACATATGATCTCATGATGTACTATGAAAGGGGTAGAGCTTGCAGAACAACTCTGTTTTCATCATTTTGCTAAAAGTACCGATTTGGCTCCCACGCCTCCCCCGGACACCTAGTACCCCCACTACCCAGAAACCAACCAATCAACCAGAACCAGGATGGTGAAATAAATGTTAACAGAATTAAAACTGCTTTTAAAAGACACCCCATTTAAAATTAACTGATACCCAATTTGCACACAGACATGCAAACCATCATTCACTTCCCCTCTCATACACACATCGATTCATCATCCTTCCTTCTTCCAGTAGAAAGAGCAAAAAAACAAAGAAGGAAAAAACCCAAGATGGTGAGGAGAGAGTATAGCTGCCCTGGGAAAAGGAGGAAGAAAGAGATGAGGAAGGGAAGGATATGACTGGCAGGAAGGGAAACCCATGCACACAAAGGACTGCTGATCTTCTACATTTAGATGTGGAACATCTGCAATGAGGTAGGAGAAGGGGACTACTTCAGCTTCGCTGAGAGTGAGAACTCTAGAAGACACATCTGAAATCTAGAGACAGAGATGGCTCTCCCTCAGGGACTTCACAAGTGTTTTTCTAGACTCCTCATTCTCAGTGCGGCAGATGCTAGTTCTCCCTTTCAATAGCATCTACCTCTAGTTTGAAAGAAAAATAAGACAATATCCCACCCCTACCTTAAAGGTAATGATTGGGAGGAGCTTCAAGTTCCTTTCTGGTAAATACAGTTAGTTCACATTTTGGTATCATTGCTCACACAGAGATTCTTGTCCTTACTTCAAAGCAGATGTTCTGGATAGACTTTCAGTTCTTTAGGACTGCCATTCACATACTCTCTAACCACTGGCTTGTTAGATGGGGCTTGTGTGAATTGTAATCCCAAACTACTGACACTTGATGGTTAAGTGAAATTTGCACTTAGTGTGACACTCAATCCCACCAAACAAGATGTCTTTGACTCTCCCTGCCCCATTCCTCACCTTATCACGGAAGCCATCAAGCGGAACTGGTGTACCCCACTTCAGGTCACGAGTGATACAACGTGGCTTCAGGCCATCGCGGATCCAGGAGCGAGTGATGTATCTTGAGTTGGGAGTCCAATCCCCACTGGACTGGGACACAGCCAACCATTTCTCCAGACTGTCTTCTAACTAGTTGTTGAGAAGTAAGAGACAGTAGACAGGATTTCTGGCTATGATATTTCAGGATGTAGCACTTGCTATGATGATAACTGTGTTAGGCAAATAATATCACATCTCTACTTGCATCAATTTTAACATTTTATCTCCTGCACTTCTAGTGCTTATATACTACTCAGAGTAACAATTAAAACTAAAATAAAAAAAACAATATTTAAAGACAAACACACCCTCACACACAAAAAGCATTACATGCTTAATTGTGGCAAATACAGTAGATCAGAAAAGTAACCCATTTGTGCCTGCCACTTGCAGAGTGGATAGGACAGAAATGTTTCACCTTTTTCTGTTATTTTACCCCTTAAAGTCCCCAAAATATTGGGCTGATTTTTCATAGTTGTCAAATGTGAAATGTTTTACAGAACAAGATGAAAACTTCTGTAAGACTTACGGCACCCATTTTGTCCCCCAAAGCAAAACAAGATGAAAATTTATATAATAGACAAAATAAAATTGGATCCAAAAACTGCACACTGCTATTTTTTCCAAATGGTCATACAAGTAATTAACACCCATTTCTGCTACTTCCTTATACTGACTTAGAAGCCACTGTTAATTCTTCCAATATTGTTTATCTTATGTTTTATCATATCATCACAGCCATATGTACATTGAATAGATAGATAGATAGATAGACAGACAGACAGACAGACAGACAGATCCAATTGAAGAGTTCAGTCCTGTCATTCCAGCAATGTCATGAGACAATTGGCTACCTCTCATGCGAACCAGAGCATCCCTTGCAAGAAAGCACACTTAGAGCATGGTGTGTTGGAAATTTCTGGCCTTAGTTATGATTTACTTTCTGATGAACATCACCATGGTCAGCTGCTTGCAACAAATTTGGCCTCTTCTTTTGAAGCAATACATGCTTGGTCTCCAGGTGATCCTGGTTGGTCAATCTGACAGAGCTTTATAACCCTGCTTTGTATTTGGTTCTTTAGCTTAGTTTAAAGCCTCCATCTTTGCTAAGTGCCTTACTTCTCACTGCTTTCTGCTGCTTACCTCCTACTACTCATAATCTTTTGTCCCTTGGCGTATTTCCATTTTTCAGTACTTCTTAGGCTGATTTACAGCTTAAGCTGATGTAAGAGTTTTGTTCTCCCTTACCCTTTGTGACTGGCAGACCAACTTGATGATTAAGGTACAAAGGACTCATGATCAATGCCCACGTATTTTTGTGGTGACAGTTCATATCTTAACCATATCTTGATTGTGCTTGGACCTTGTAATTCTTTCTAGTCTCCTCCCAGTCTCCACTTATACATTAAACTTGGGCTTCTTGATCTATTTGGATTTTATCCAAAAATCTATTTGGATTTTATCCAAGTGATATTCTACCCAGTTAATGATAATGTGCTTCATTCCATCTCTTCATTTTTATTATTTATTAATCTTGTCTATAACTTGCCCTTCTGGAATACACCTGGGATTTTGTGTTTCCTTTATTCTAACATTAGTAATACAGGTAGTCCTCGATTAACAACCATTTGTTCAGCGACTGTTTGAAGTTACGACAGTGCTGAACAAAGAGTCTTACAACTGGTCCTCAAAGTTGCAGTTGTCACAGCGTCCCCAAAATCACGATTGCAATTCAGGCACTTGGCAACCAGCTCACAATTACGATGGTTGCAGTGTCCCACGGTCATGATTGCCATTTACACTGCCAGCTTCCCGCAAATAAAGTCAATGGGGAAGTCTGCAGGAGGTCACAAACGGTGATCGTATGACATCCTGCTTAATGACCACATGGGATTCGCTTAACAACAGCAACTGGAACGGCTGGAACTGCCATTGTAAGTCAGCATGGTCATGTGATATCATGCTTTACGATCATGTCGCTTAGTGATGGAGTTCCCAGTCCCAATTACCATTATTAATTGAGGACTACCTGTAATCCAGGTAGGAAGTGAAATTTTCTATTGCCTTCTTTGGATCAAAGTACCTTGTTCATCTGAAGAGGGGAATTAATTTTCCTGTGCCTGTACCAGGTTAATTATATCCATTATTAATCTTGCCCTTATCAGAACATTACATCATGTGTAACAGAAGGGTGGGGGGCTGTACCTTAGATATGCCTTTATCAGAACTAGTTGTATGCACATATGCTGTTCAGGGCAGAATCTTTCAGTCAAGTTATTTTTTAAGTTATTTGGAGCTTTAGAAGCCTTAAGATTCAGTCAAGGTTTGTCCCCACTCCCTGGTTCTGATGGCAGAAATCGTCCCAGTGCACACCATGTCTTTTGTTTGTAAACAGGCACCTTGAAAATCATTTTACATATGTCATAAAACTTTAGAATAAGTTCTCCTAGATTGTTAGTCAATATAATTTTAATAAAGTGAACTGTATTGTTGTGTTTGTTGATATCAACTATCAATATTCAGCAAATGTGTATAACACTTGCATCTATTTCCTGAAGCTGTGGTTTCTGATGAAGACTTTAACTGATGGGCAAATAGTGGAAAAATTGTTTGAACCAGTTCCTATAGCATCAACTTAGGGTTAGGGTTGGACCAATTCCAATTTAGAAAGATTCTTCAAAGATAGCTCCAAGTGAAGCCCACTTCAATAATCCAGTCAAGGTGTTAATTAAGTCCTATGTCTTCACGATCAAGTTAGGCCTCATCAAAGACCGGCTTAACTGGCAGACTATTTTAAACTGGGCAAAGGCAGCTGTGCCTCCAGGTGCAAAGTTGAATCTAGAAATATCTCCCATCTGCTGAATTCTAGAGTTCACTTACTTCTTGAAGAGAAGCACCTCTGTCTGGTCCAGATTCAGTCTTGGTTTATTGGCAGCTCATCACTGCCACCAGATGCTAATTCAAAGAATCACAGAATACCACCTTCTAAAGACAGAAGAAGAACAAGGGACTCACCTTGGGTAGATCCAGGAAGAGATGTTCAGAAGATTTCACCACAGGAGTTCCTTGGCAGATTTTGCACACTGGTTTCTGTCAGAAGGGAAAGAAGAACACATCATGAGATAATTTGTTCAGCAAATTACCTAAACAGAATCACCCTATTTCATAGTAGTATACCTCTGAATCCTAGGAATGCCCTTGTCCTTACATCCTTTCAAGAAAAAACCA